AACAACTCCCTTATTTATCTTCTAGGAGAAACACAGACTCTAACACAGTCAGAATATAAGCATTTCATCTTCATTTAGTTCCTGGTACTATAAATGTAGACTGGAAAGAAATGAACCCATTACCAAAACATTGTTGGTGATGTTAACTCACGCAGTGCTCCAATGAGGATTCTTGTTAAATGTCAACTCAAATCCATGTTTCTATTTTACACTATTTGATTGTGGGTTACTTTATTTGAACTATAAATCTAAATTGTAAATAATGTATACCACATAATTATTAAACTCTTAATTTCATTGCTATAATGTGGATCAACTATTGAAGAAATTTATGGGGTCCTTCTAATTAATTAGAATACTTTAACAGTCTCAAAAGTTTAAGTTTTACCAATAAGTAAATAATGAATAAGTTTATTAATCACTCAAACAACTAAATAGTAAGAATGCTAATAATCTGATTTTAAGTAGAAAAATATAATGTCAGATTTGAAGCTACCAGGTACTTTTGAATTTTATTTTAACATCTTCCATGTCTGTACTACAATCATACAATTTATCTGAGACCACTAGCCTGAGTAACTGAGAAACTCAGTTTTTATAAAACTTAGTTGCTAAGGGATGTGCTGGTGACAGTTGGAAGCATGATTGGAGCCTACACCAGCTTGGATGTGCACACTGGTAGCTGAGAATTTTGTACATTGAGAGCATGCAAATTTTCTTACAGAGGAATAATTTCTTGACAAGGTGCAGATGTTTAAAATTAGAACTTTTCACAAATGATAACCAAGTATAATCTTTTAAGTTATCTTGGTTTTGAATAAGAAAATATTGTATATTTCATTTTTAAATCTACCATTTGAAAGTGAATTTGACAGAGAAGATGCAGTTTCTCAATCACATGCAAAAACAAAGAGAATATATTGCAAAATATTCATAATCCTCAGATTTATATTGAAGTTTAAGTCAACAAGTGTCACAAATTCAGACTCCTTTTGAAATCTTAATTGGCACACACACACACACACACACACAAATGCACACACACACAAACAAACCACAACACAAAATATATTAAATTGCATGCCATTCTTTATGGTAATCAGAATCAATTGAAAAATATAGAGGGTATATAAAAAATGATCTAATGTATGTACACATATAAGGTTGAATATGACATGACTAATGAGAGGGATCTCAGAATATGCTTGGTTGGAAGACGAAACTATAGGTTCTGGTATTAGAACTCAATGTCATGAAGCATATTTCTGAACTTCTTAGGCTCTGAAGTGAACCTTACTTTTGGTTTTCAGGAGTCCCTGTTGTTTCTTAGTGCCCTCTGCTGGTCCCAGATGTCTCTATTTGGAGGCATTTTTGTGTAGGCTTAAATTGGAGTTTCCTCACTGTGTCTCTGGCACAGTAATATACGGCTGTGTCTTCAGTGTGCACATTGTTCAATTTTAAGAAGACTTCACTCTTGGAGGTGTCCCTGCTGATGGTGATTCGAGACTGGAGAGCTGAACTGTACTTTGTGTTTCCATCACTCCATATTATTCCCATCCACTCCAGACCCTTTCCTGGAGGCTGGCGAATCCAGTGTATATCACTGTCAGTTAATGATAACCCAGAGACAGTGCAGGTGAGAGACAGGGTCTGTGAGGGCTGTAGCAGACCAGGTCCTGTCTCCTTCAGCTGTACCTGGGAAATGACACCTGGAGACAAGCAACATCATGATCAGTCATATATTACATAGATGGCGTGCCTGGGTCCCTCTCCTGAAACCCTGAAACACTTACAACTTGGAAATGCCACCAGGCAGAGGAGCAGCACCAGGACAGCCATGCTTTGTTGGAAGCTCTAGTGAGAAGGAGATGTGGCCTCTCAGAGAGCCCTGGGCTTTTATAGTGAGCCTGAGGGCTGCTTTGCATTGGCAAAAACTCCTGAGAGGATAAAAGAAAGCACAGGACTTGGTTTCCACTTCCCTCAGGTAAATGAGATTTGTCTTACGTTTCTTAGAGAATTTGAATATGGGAACTCTAACAGTTTCTTGTTACTGTTTGTATTTCCAAACCCTGACACATGGGAATTAGTGTGAATCACACTGTGTAGTCCTGGCAAGCAAAACATAGGAGTGTTTATGCTAAGTGAGTCCACATTTATGCAGTGCAGGCAGAACAGTGTATCATAACCTAAATGCATTTGTTTACCTATGTAAATTGCAGCACCGAACTTAGTATGGTATTGGGCCTCTTAGTTATTAGTAACCCTACTTTTAGCAACAGCTTAAAGTTTATTCACTTGGTGTCAGTGAAATCATTCTTATTCTCAACACTTGTCTAGAAGATAACTTTCAAGATGAAGCTCAATAACATTATTACATGTGATTTCAAGTGTTTATCTGAGAGGATACCCAAAGACTTATGTGGTTCCTACCTCATGTGGCTCAACCTATTCACTTTCTCAAATTATTTGTAAAGGTTAAGATTTCATGATAAAACAACCTATTACATATAATTATATTATGATTGATAGGTAAATTTTTATCCATAAGCCTTTTATCAGTTATCTGTTTACTTATGTCTGGTGGACAAATGGAGACTCACTTAATGGGTCATGTTATAATGGTAGTACCAGCTTGTACATTTGTGGTGGGTTAGAATTCCATAAACATAACACAAATTACAGTCATCAGGGAATAATAAACTTCATTTGGAAAAATTTCCTCCATCAGGTTTTTCTGAAAGAATGACTGTGTGATCATTTTCTTCAGTAATGATTGATGGGGGAGGGTCTAGACAGATGGATGGGGTGGTGCCATCCATGGGAAGTTGTTCCTGGTTTATATAAGAAAGCATGCTGAACAATCAGGGAGTGCAGGTCAATAAAAAGGGTTCTTTATGGTTTACAATTCAGTTCCCACCTTCAGGTTCCTGCTCTGATTTCATGTACTGATATACCTAAATGATCGACTGTAAGATTTAAGATGACATAAATCTTTTCCTTCCTATGTTGCTTAAGTATGATGATCTTGACAGGTACAGAAAAAAACTAGGATGAATCCACTTACGTCTGATGAAAGGATGGATGCAGAGTCAGTGACATCTTGCCCAATTTAAACCACAGAACACATATGTCACTCATCCAAACATACACCTAAACACACACACACACACACACACACACACACACACACACACACACTCTATCCTCCACATGCAGAAACACATATTCACAGGTAAAAGGATTAACTAACATTGCTCCTTTCTTTTTTAAGGTCACTCTGGTTGGCTTGCACTCTCTGTCTAGAACAGTCTGATATTAAACTTCGAGATTTCTTATTACTGCTTCCCTAGTAACTGGATTAAAGGTGTGTATGGCACTCCAGACCATCACATAAAGTTTTTTTTTAAAAAATCATTTCTTAACTAATATTTTGGATAATTGTTTCCCTTGCCTTATCTTCTCCTAGAACATTCTTCTCTCTCAAGCTGCCATTTCCATTATCAGCAGAATTTTAAGGACATTTTAGAGATTGACTCAATGACACTTAACTTTCAGATAGGTTTAAAATTCCATATTGACAATGTATTCTGTCTTTTAAAAATCATTTCCTTTTAGGGTATACTTTGTTACCTAGTATCTGTGGAATTGTGGATTGTAGTGATTATCCTTTGCTTTACATATAGTATCCACTTATGAGTGAATGAATGCCATATCTGTCTGAGTCTGGGTTACTTAATTCAGTATGCCTTTTTTTTTAGCTCCATGTTTTTGCCCGCAAATTTTATATTGACATTTTTTGCCACTTAATAATCCTCCATAGCATAAATATACCACATTTACTTTATTCATTCCTTGGTGGAGGGACATCTAGATAGTGTCCTGATTTTAGCTATTTTGAATAATGCTGACATGAACATTGCTGAAGAAGTGTCCTTGTGGTATGATTGAGCATCCTTTGGATGTGTTCTGATGAGTGGTATACCTGGGTCTTCAGGTTGATTGATCTATCTTTTCTTAAATTACCATACTGATTTCCAAGGTGGCTGGTTAAGTTTGCACTCCAACCAGCAATGGAGGCATGATTCCTTACTCCATATCCTTTTCAACTTAAGCTATCATTAGTATTTTTGAAATTAGTCATTCTAACTGGTGTCAGATGGTATCTCACAGAGATTTTATTTGCATTTTCCTGACGATTAAGGATGTTGAACAATTCCTTAAATGTCTTTGATTCCTTTAAGATTCTTCTGTTGGAAGTACTCTTTTTAGATCACTAAATCATTTTTAAAAAGGATTATTTAGTATTTAATTTCTAGTTTCTTGACTTCATTATATATACTGTTGATTAACACTGTCAAATGTGGAGTTGTCAAAATCATTTCCCATTCTGCAGGCTGTTTTTGTCTTATTTACCATGTTATTTGACTTATAGAAGCTTTTCCATGTCAGGAGATCCCATTTATTGATTGTTGTTCTCAGTTTCTATGCTATGAGATGCATGGATTGCCATAGAAAATGAGTTTAGATGAGATATCATGGGTAAATGGGAGTTGAGAGCAGTGGTAGCAAGAAGGTGATGGGGATGAAGACAATAGGAAACATGATGGTTGAGTTGGGG